AAGATACTATGCAAATGTTTAAACCGCTCATCTCTTCTTTGGCAAAGCATTTCTGAGTCCAAGTGTGGAGCCCAAGTGTGGAACTGATATGGACACAAAAAGATGAAACTCTATGATAATTATAAACCATAAAGCAAGCACTGACTTTTGGACAATTGTTCCCATTCCCATCTCCTTGTCCTTGGTTTCTTTGACATCCATCAGGCTTTGATGTGAAGTCTCTGGCTGCTGTCTCTGACCATCCCGTCCCTCTGGAATACATTCAATTCATGTTATGGTGTTCAAGTATGGGAGCATACTGGATAATCATGAGTTAGCATGATTTCCCATTTGAAAATAAAACTCACAAGACCTGATCTAAAAGGCCATTGAGCTGGGTTTCCATGTGATTCCCGGGAACACACTGCACTGCTAGCATCCATAAGAGGAAAAAGATGAGTTTCTCTCTCACCACCTCAGCATCCTGGTATATCCTAGGAACCGTTCACTCTACAGTATATTAAGGCTAAATGGATATTTTTGATGACCATTTCATGAATTCATGAAAGATGGCTGGTCAGACTTTCTAAGATCATCTAATACCCTCCAAGTGTCTTCTCATCATATCTCAACTATTTTCAAACAATGTGTTCCTTGTTTATTTCTTCACAGCTATAGCAGTTAAGTTGGTTTTGATTCCCAAACCTCTGCTGTCACAATACACATAAGAACACATACATAGACACATACTTGAACACATACACACATACTAGGCACACACCATATGTGGGCACACAAACATACACAAATCACAGACACCAGTATATACGTCTACACACACACCACACATAGCATACACACAAACACATAAAATGCCCATTGTTACGTCAGAAAAATCCTTTTACAGTTTGTATTCACAGGTCCATTCAGAAAAATAAAAATGAACACTTTTAGAAAGACTATTTATAGCACAGAATATTTTTCCCCTCTCATAGAAGCATTGGCACCTGGTTCCATGTCAAATCTTGTGCCAGATTTGAATTAACATATTTATTCACTTACTCAATGAGTATTTATTGAAGGACTACAACAAATATTTGTTCAGAGGCATTTTCCAAAAAATGAACTAAATATTTAATAACAACCTTCCAAATGACTGCTTGTTTAAACAAAAATAAAATGCCAAAATATACTCAGAAAATATTTATTGTTTGGTGATGGCTAAACATTATCACATTGGCTGGTGAGGGGATGCTTTCAATACTTAAAAAAAATCTACTCTGAGATGAATAATGGAAGCACAATAAAAGTAAACTCTAAATAGCCATTTTGACATTGGTTATTGATGTATGGAATCACCATATATGTTACTTTATTCTTCAAAAATACATGAGCTAACCGGTAACCAGAGTAGAATTATACTCCATAGGGTTTTCAGGCTGATTGTTTTTTTTTCAAAGTAGATCACCATGTCTTTTTTTTAATGGCCTGTCTGGGTGTGTTTGACTTTCCAATCTTTCAGTTAGCAAACTAGCTCATAAGCCATTTGCACTACCCAGAGACATAAAAATGGATGAAATTATCAGAAGAAAATAAGAATAAGGAGGAATCAGAATCAGAATGTACTCAGGATTTATAATGTCCAAAATTCTCATGTTCATATATGAAAAACTAAAAGGAGCTCATGGGAAAAGAAGATAGTTCAATCGTGATATACCTTTTCTGCTTTGGAACAGAAAATCATGACTTTCCTTACTTGATGGTAGTGACAGTTTGATAACGGGAGTTAGGCATGGAGTGTGCACACATTGTTAAAATATTGATTTATTTTTAATGTACAACCCCAAGGAAACAAAGACAAATACTATTATACACACAATCCCAAAATAGTGGTGAGCTATAAATAGATGCTTGAACAGACACACGGCTGAGCAGGTAGTGAGAGGAGAGTGAGGTACACGTTTGACATAGGATATATTTATATGAATATTTACCTTTTCTATAAGTATGTCCATAAATGTGATGGAACATACAGGGGTAAAAGTTCAGAAAACTTATTAGACAGAACCAAGCACCATGAGGAAATGAGTTGTTGGGTCTTAAGCTTCAGGACCAGTGTCTCAAAGGACCACAAGGTCAACTGGCAGGACATGGTCCACAAAGACAATGTTGTACATTCTACTTTGGTGAGTAGAAACTGGGGTCTTCAAAGCTCATGAAACACATGTAAAGTCACAATTGTTGGTCTCTCCCTGTACAGAGAAAACAAGAATGATAAAAAACAAAAGACAGAGAACAAAAATCAACCTAGTAGACCATGCAAAAATTAGTCTCCACAACCCTGAAACCAAAAGAATTAAATAGTGCAAAACTGCTACAACCAGCTGCTCTGAAAAATATTGCATTAGAAGTTCTTAAAGAGAATTGGGAGAAAAATGTGGACCAGAACACCAACTCCATGTAGAAAGGCAACATTTGGCAACTGATGTGGTAGCAATTTTACATTCTACTTGACGTGATTGAAATTTGGAATGATATGATATCTGAAGGGATATGCCTCCCCAACATGGAATTTTTTCAAGGCTATGTATTTAATTTTTTTATAAAATAAGTTTATCACTTTCAAAGTACAAGTTTATCACCTTCAAACTCGTGTTTGGATGGTGGAAACAGCTCCCTCATTTTTATTTCATATCTTCTATGTAGTCAAATCACTGTCTTTCATGTCCCTCTTCATTCGTGGAAAGAAAAGGAAGTTGCATGGAATGAGGTCAGGTGAGTAAGGCGCATGGAGCAAGAGAGGCATGTTGCTTTTTGCCAAAAACTGGTGCACTGAGATGGCTGTGTGAGCAGGTGCATTGTCATGGTGGCAAAACAAGTCCCCCATCTGCCACAAATCATGCCTTTTTGGTTGTATACTATTAAACGATCTTTTCAGAATCTCTAAATAGAAAGCTTGATTAAAAGTCTGACCTGGTGAATGAACACCAAACGCACTACAAGTCAACATTTTTGCTCATTCAGGAAGTTGATGGATATCTAGAACAAGGTTTGTTAGCAATCAATATTTCACTTTTTTTGAAACAAGAACACCACTCGTACACTTGGGGTTTTCCCATAGCACTGTCCTTGTAAGCTGTGTTAAACATCACAACAGTTTCTGTGGCATTTTTCCTGAGCAGGAAATGAAATTTTACAGCCGCATGCTGTTTTCTTAATTTGGCCATCACAAAAAAATGAGGTTCAAGTGAAACTGCTTTTATGAAAAAATCCACTATGGCGTTAGAATCTTCCCAGGTGAAGCCACTGGGTGCACTAACTCAGAGAGAGTTACTGGATGCTTGCCTAGGAGGAAAGATGCACGCGTACTCAAAAAACACAGCCCAGTGGATCTTTTCTGGTTTGGGGAGGGTACCCCCTCATGTGTATTAAATCCCAACTTAAAAAAGAGACAACACAACACAAAATCATAAATGAAACCAGGCTTCCTGGTTGGAAAGAGACTAGAGAAACCCCAAAGCAATGGTTCTTAATACCCTTTGCATCTAAAACTGAATTCACCCCCACATTAGAATAATCAATAATTTAAAATAAAAAGGCAGCAGCTACCCAGAGATAAAGTTCAGAGAGCTAGGAAATAGTGAGGAAAGGAAATAAGGAAATACATGAGGAAGTTGGATAAGTGGTGGTACATTATATGAGACTGCAATGGATTAGTTGAAACAAAGTATATATAAATTGTTAAATGTAAAACAGTTGAGCCTGTAAACTGGCACTGAATTCACAATAAAACATTTTTAAGGGGGGGGAAAAAAAGCATAACCTCAGCTCCAGCTAACGTGGTATAAATACTCGTGTATAAAAAAGAATTAATGAATGAACAGAGTATCTGACCCTCACACGTGAAAGATATTTTCTTGTGCTAAACTTAAAGTAGCATCAAAGAACCACTCCCCTCGATATTATTAAGTAATGGGGAAAATGGCTATAAGCAGAATTCAGTAGATGTTCGGTTAACTAGGTCTTCTAACACATCTTTCAAATTAGCTTTCAATCCATTGCAATTGGGTCTACTCCAACTCGTGGCATTCGTATAGGACAGAGGAGAACTGGCCATAGGGTTTACAGATCAGTAAATCTTTCCAGATGCAGCATGCCACACTTTTCTCCCACAAGACAACTGATGAGTTCAATCCACTGCTTTCACCAGTGGGCCACTAGGACTGTTTAAATTAGGAGTGCTTGTTAATATTATTAAATAATCACACCTGAAAGTAGCTTTGCTATAAATCCTCAGGCATTTGAGGAAAAGGTTGAATTAACCTGGCTAACGCTATTTAAATAATTAACATCGACTGACCCACCTGATAAATCTCAGCATTGGGTCCCTTGATCTTATACAGATGTGATCCCAGATCATTAACAAGAGCATTGTTTTAAAAGTGATTCTGACTCTTTCTGAGATGTAATAGAAAAGAAGGATGTGCAGGTGCAGGTGCAGGTGTAGGTGTAAAAGAAGGTCATCCAATACAATTGAAAGGATGAACTTGACGTGTGGGGTTTTGTGCATGAAGTCATTTAGGTAAGTGTCCCACTTGAGATTGAGAGTGTCCTACCTCAGAGCAGCTTCAATCAGGACAGAAGGTGTCACTAGCAAATACTTCACCTGGTTCCCAGGAGGTTCTCTGGTGTAAATGATGTTTTCTACTGGGTATCATGTGTCAAGTCTTACAGGCAATGGTTCAATCAGACCTCTCATCTTAAAAGTTATGAATAGCTGGAATCTCATCTTAAAAATTATTAGTAGCTGGGCATTAGTATGTTTTATACATAATTCCTGCTATTTAATTTGTTTTCTTCCACTGTACTTACTTTAGAAAATAAACACATGTACAGCTATAACTTTATACCTTATAGGAAAAGTAATTTTGGCACGCAAAACAGATTTATAGCTTTTTTTCTCCCTTCCCAGGCATCTTGGCGGCTGCGCTTGGGGGCCACCCCACACCTAAGACAGGAAGATGGTGGCCGCAAAGCAGACGAAACAGTCGCTGGAGTGCATCAACTCGAGGCTCCAACTCGTTATGCAAAGTGGAAAATACATGCTGGGCTGCAAGCAGACGCTGAAGATGATCCGGCAAGGCAAAGCGCAACTAGTCGTCCTGGCCAACGACTGCCCGGCCTTGAGGAAACCGGAAGTCGAGTACTACGCCATGTTGGCCCAAACTGGTGTGCATCACTACAGCAGCCACAACATCGAGGTGGGCACGGTGTGCGGCAAATCCTACAGCCTGTGCAGGCTGGCCATCATCGACCCCGGTGATTCTGGTATCATTCGTAGCAGGCCAGAACAGACTGGCAAAAAAATAAATCCTGCAATATTTTTCTTTAATAAAACTGACCAGAACTTGTTTAAAACAAAACAAAAAACAGATTTATAGTATATCCCGAAGTTACCTCTGGGATGGTCCTGACATAGAGATGAGCCTTCCCTCTCTTTAAATCTCCAAATGATAGTATGATCAGACAGAAGTGCCACAGGAATTCAGAAATAAAGAGGGAAATATCTGGACCATGAAGGTAATCCTTAACCATCACTACGCTTTGTAAATCTACCAGCCAATTATCAATCGCCTTTCCAAGTTGAATACAAATATATATTTTTGTTTTCTCTGCAAAACTTTCCTCATCCTTCCTTACTCTCACAAAGCATTTTGAATATGATAACATAATATTTTTTAAAGAGGGGGGGTGAGGAGAGGCTGTTTCAGACTGAGAACTGGTTCTATTGTTAGACTGGGTTTTATGCTTTGCAATTGCCAACTGATAAACATTTTATATACTTCAAAACTCACTGCCATGAAGTTGATGACAACTCATAACAACCTATAGGACAAGGTATAACTGCCCCTGTAGTCCCGGATATTTTAACTCTTCAAGGGAAGAGAAAGCCCGTCTTTAATCTTGCAGTTAGTAGCACAACACATAGCCATTATGCCACCAAGTCTCCTCACTCGACATACTAGGGACTAAATATTGTAATATTATCATTGTAAGTAACTTGTGATGCAGGTATTCTTATCTTCATTTTGCAGAAGAGAAAACTGAGCCTTAAAGGTACAGTACCATAAATAAGATTACACAGTATTGAAGTGAAGAGCACTGAAATCCAGGTTCTTTTAATTACAAATTTTATGTACTTCATCATAGTTTATATTGTTTTCAAATAGTGGGGAGGAGCATTTATATATCTGAAACCTCTCCCTATTTCTCTCTCTAATTGTATATGCTTACTAATTTGAAGGCAGTCAAAAGTATTATTATACAATCATTTTTAAAAACCTGCTATCCAGTCGATTCTGATTCATATCCACACCATACAGTGTTTCCAAGAATAAACTTTTATGGTAATAGAAAGCCTCCTTTTCTCCCTCAGAGCAACTAGAGGGTTTGCACCACCAACCTTTCAGTTGGAAGTCATAGAAACCTTTATTAAACAATAATATGCAACTATTGTTTCTTGATATATCCTCCACTTGGGTCCAAACACTGCTGAAGGCAATTTTTCCATCTTTCTGACCCTTCCTTCCCTAAAAAATCTGTACACTTCAACTATAACAAGTCGAAACAGACTGATACTGGTAGAATGATAGCTAATCAGACCAATGGATCAGGACAGAAAACCCAGAAATAAAAACATCCACATACAGACAAAGGCCCCCAAAACATGAGATAGTAGATACCCTCTTCAATAAACAGTGCTGGAAAAGCTGGATGTCCATGTACAGAATGAATCAAGAATCATGTCTCACTCCATGCTCAAAAACAAACTCAAGGTAGGTCAAAGACCTAAATATAAAGCTCAGAGATATCAGGGTCATCAATGGGGAAATTGGGACAAAGTTAGGAACCCTAGTGCAGGGAATAGATGAGCTATCAGAAATAACAAAGAAAACACACTCCATGGAAGATGAAATAAATGAATGGTACCTATTAAAAATAAAAACTTGTGTACATTGAAAGACTTTATTAAAAAGTTGGAAAAAATTTAGTAACGACATAACAGACAAAGGACTAATTACTAAGATCTATAGAATGTTATGAGTTTACAACAAGAAAAAAATCTAATAGCCGTCTGTTAAGGTGGGCAAAAGACCTGAACACACCATTCATACAGGATGACACTTGACTGGCTAATAACACATGAGGAATTGCTCCTGGTCATTAGCCATCCAAGAAATGCAAGTCAAAAGAAATATGAGATACCACCTAATATCCTTAACTGTAGCCAAATTACAACAAAAACAAAAACTGAGAACAACAAATGTTGGCGAGGGTGTGGTGAGATAGGAACTCTTATCCATTGCTGATGGACTTGTAAATATGTACAGCCATTATGAAACACGTTATAGCAATAGCTAAAACAGATGGCAATTGAACTATCATATGACCCAGCAACACCATTACTGGGCATATACGCAAAATAAATAAGAAACAGATCACAAACAGACGTTTGCTCCCACATGTTCATTGCAGCACAGTTCACAAGAGCAAGAAGCTGGAAACAACCTAAATTCCCATCAGTAGGAGAGTGGATAAAAAACTCTGGTACATACACACAATGGAATACTATGCATCCCTAAAAACTGCAATGAAATCATGCATCACCTCAATTTGTGGAGGGATCTGGAGGACATTTTGCTGAGTGGCGTCAGTCAAGTACAAAAGGACAAATACTGTATGAGTCCACTGCAGTAGGAACAAACAGCAAACTGGGCATAAGCTCAAGCTGGCAAGTCATCCAGTCTTCTGACTGGGGATCCGACAGCCTGGTAAAGAGATGGACCAGTGCCAATGAACCGCACATCATCCACTTCAGGTAGTATTGTGTAGGTCACTTGGCTGGAGGGCACCTCATGACAGCTGGGATCAAAAGGTAGGGGGAGGAGGGGATGCTATCTACTGAGTGGTAGCCATGTGGATCTGGGGTGAGGTCCTTGGAGAGATTGGCCCTGTCAGAAGTATGAAGCTCACTGATGGGAGGGGCAATGCAGAAGGGAGAGGGAATGGTCAAGTTTGGGGGAATATAGGTGCATGCCTGTGGAGGGGAGGAGAGTTGATCTCTAGGTGTGGGGAGGAGAGATTGAAGATGGACATGTGAACATTAAGTGGGGAGGGTCTTTAGTGGTGTGCAAAATTGACCTAGGGCCTCTGGGGGTATCCAAGGAACCTAGACCAGGTGTGGTAGAATTCTGGGACACTGAATTCTGGATCTTTGAGGTGCACATCATGTCATGCTCCAGAGGCTGCTTCAGAGAGACCCCATATGGGAACTCCACTGAGTGAACTGGACTTTACCCTAGACACACTGGTGACCTGAGGACTTAAGCTGGAAAACACATGGTGTCTGAGGAATTCCCACACTGTGTCTCCAAGGTTGTTCCCTGTAGGGCTATGAGTCAATGAAGGATGTCATGTCTCATAGTGGGGGCAGCCATATGGGCTTCTCTGTGGATTGTCTGCTCTGAGTGGGAATATCGTCTTCAAGGCTTGGTGAGCCAGGATGTGTTCCACTCTCTCTTCCTCCCCCTTCATTTGCTCCCGTGTGCTCTGATCAGACATGTCCCTCTCCCTGAGCTGCAGCTTCAGGGATGTCCTCTGAAATAAATTCTTCTGGGGGGAGGGTCAGATGTCCAAGCAGTTGGGATTGGGGCCGGCCACTCAGACCCTCAGTATCATATCTTACTTAAGTCCTGTATCTGGCAAGCATAGTATGGCATAAGGTAGCTGGGTCCTAAAGCACTCTTTGAGATGTAAATGCAAGAAACCTTCATAGATTTTGAGGTAAAGTAAAGTTCAAACATAATTTGATTTTATAAGTAATAGATGTCAAATCTATAGTTTTCTTTCTCATATATATTCCCTCTTCCCTTACAGACATGGTTAGGCTGCAAATTCCAAGTTCAATATTGTGTGAAAATTGAGAATGACCACATCAAATCACAAAATGGAGGATGAAACCGTAATTACATAATTGCAAAATTTATGTAAATACATAATTGCCAAACTACTGCGATTATAGCATATAACTTTAACTGTCACAGCCTGAATTACTCTGAACTCACACCTAACAACATGTGCCACATATATGTTATTAATGTAAAAAAGTCATTGTAAAGTAGAATTTTGCTATTGTTGTAAATGCAAAATGTTGGATAAGGATATATTTTATAAGTGAGTAGTAGGTATATACTCTCTATAATTGGCTGGTGGTCAAGGTAGCATTATTACAGAAGAGGTGGCATACAAGCTAAATAGAGAGAAGAGATCTTTTGTGAATGGAAGGATTTTAACCGTCATATAATTATACAAACTGTCCTGTCAGAACAGTCTATATTTCAAAATAAATATCTCTTCGTTGTTTACACTTATAGTAAGGTTTATCAAGTTCTTCAAGTCCTGGCAACTGACTTCCATTTTTTGACATTGGCCCTGTTGCTTATCACCATGAAGCTACACTAATCCTGTTTGTTCTATACTCCAAGCTTTTTTTTCAATTGTAAGTCCATACATATTCTGTAAGATAGATTCTTTAAATTTGTTTTGATACTTTTGTAAAGCCAGAGTCTGATGTATTAAGTACTTGCCATTCATTTAGTAAAAAACCAAATTTTCAAAAAAATGCTTCCCCATAACAGTATTATTACTTTTTTAAACTGACCTTATTTGTTAGCCATGGGCCTTTAGAAATGAGAAACTGAGACCAAAATTAATCTCATCCACAAGGCAATTCTGAATAGTTCCAATACTGCCATATGTTTTTAGGCTATTGATATTTACAAATAGCAGTATAATTAACTCAAGAGCATGAATTCTTATGACTGTTTAAAAACATTTTGAGGGTGTATATTATTAACTAATTTGTCATTTCTAAAATAGCCATGAATGATTTTAATAAGTAAAGGAAAGACAAAAATCACACATTTTCATTCATGCAATGCTCACAGAATCCATGGGGAGGAAATCCTTCTCTTTTTGAGGAGATCAACATGGTTTTCGTATCAGACATTTTCATTTCCTCTAGGCAACATAATGATAAATGGAAATATTGAAGTTGTCAGGACTTTAATTTAACTTGAATCCACAATCAATGCCTAGCAAAAAAAGAGCAAAGAAATCAGTCAGCCTATTGTTTGGGCAAATCTATTGCCAAAGACCTCTTTAAAGGGTTCATGTGCCAGTTTGAGGACTCCGATGACCTTGACCCATGCCAAAATTTTTCAGTCACTTCATATGCATGCAAAAAGTGGACAATGATTAAGGAAGACTGAAGTAGAATTGATGCCTTTGAATTATGTTGTTGGCAAAGAATATTCAATACTCAAACTGTCGAAAGAACAAACAAAGCTGTGCTGGAGGAGACACAGCCAGGATAATACGT